AGTAACATAAAACAGCAGTAACATGGATGCCGGGAAAAGAAAAAGATTAACTTGTAACCTGAAGGTCTTCTTTTCCAAACCATGTGACTTTACATAAATGATATACCGGTAGCATAATATTCAATTGTACACTGGAGTAATAATGGATTAAGATGTTACATGTATATGCTGATTGATGCAAAGCAGCAATAGCTTGCTGTGAATGATTACTGTGCCCCAACTGTTTGATAAATTATTGTTGACAACTACTTTATATTCTATGTGAATGATGACTTACTTATAGGCAATAATTATACATTTATAAGCCTTGATTACGTTCAGAGGCCCATTAGTTATCTCTTTTATAACTATCTTTGGATGTTAAAAAAATGTGATCACTTCAAGTTGAAACAATAAATATCACACATTGAATATATATTCTAAGATCCATTGATCAGTTCAAACTATTATATGATTCACTTGTATCAATATATTCCAAATGAAGCTAACACAGTAGAATAAATAATATTTATTAGTAAATGACATGTAGATCATAGAATAAGATATGAAGACAGAAAGTATTTGCACATCTGCTGGTGGAATGCACAGGTTTGATTGTGTAATGAGTTGAATCGTTGACTAGAGATGTGAAGTCCAGGGGTCAAACTCAGGTTTTGAATGTAAGTGTAGATTCACTGGATTGTAATTGAATCCAGTGAGCAGGGTAGAAGTAAACTGCAACTGCTTTTACTAGACAATACAAATAAGATGTATTAATTAAAGCATTCCTATGAATTAATAGATATATTTTAATCATATGAAATATGACATACATTGAAAGTTTTGATATATACCCGGTATGCATATATGTGTAGTTCGATTTCTTAAATTACTGTAGAGAGTGAATATGTATTATTGTACCAGTACAACATCAGCAACAAACAGTTTGAATGGTTGCTAATGGCCCTTGGCGTTCTAGAGAGAGAAAAGAGGTATTGAATTAGAAATTGTTTATGACTGTCGGTTGATTGCACGTTGTAAAAGTTTATTTTAAACCAGTAACCATAAACTTTTTTTTATTTTCTATCTTTTTTTTCTTAATTGAAATCCACTAAGCGAGAAAAGTGTTATTGAAAATCTACCGCAAGTATCCTTTTATCAATAGCATAAAGAAGACTTTCAAAATATTTTGCTGCAAGGAAGGACACGTTTCTTTCATGAATTGTAAAAGGGTAATCCATGGCAACTATGACAATAGATGTAAACATCAACGGGAAGCTTGTAGATTGTATAGACTTGAACCCCCCTGCGTGCGAAACAGTGTCTGTAAAACAAAAATGCCCTAGTTCATGGTACAAGGTGGCACGTCGAGTTATAATACTTCAGTCACTGTTTTTTTTTAAATCCAGTAATATGCTTATTACAACTGATGAAAAATAATTTAGTTCCAATAACGTTTGACATAGTAATAATTTTCCTTCATATAAACTTTTTAAAATTGTTTTCCTGTGAGTTAATCACATTGATTAGAGGCTGTTCACTTGATTGAGATAGTTGGCAGTGTAGGGAAGGTTCTGTCTTAGGCACCTTGCAATTTATTGTTAGTTTTAGTAAAGTCGCTTGCTTATAACCTTAGGCTCATAATATTTGAATGTGACATCATTTTCTTGTATGATTGAAACCTAAGTTTCACATCAGGTAGGAAATTCTGAACGACTGAAAATATGAAAAGGGGTGCTTGAAAACATGAAGGTGTTGAAAAAAGAAGTTCAATAAAATAAACAGTGATCAGGAATATTTGTTATCTACCTCACAGTACAAGTATTAACTGTATTAGGGGTATAAATTCCTTAAATATTTAGAGGTGTTAACTTTTTTAATAAAGTTCTTTTTTATGTGGTATTGTTAGCATTCAATGTAACTTTCAGTGATAAAGAGATACAAACAGACTACTAATTGATACAAGATGTTAACTTCTGGATATTTATTGTGGGATTTATCAAACCAACAAATTATGTAATCTACATGTATTTTCGAATTGATCTTTAATACAGTGATATCTTTAGAGTCCCTTTGAAGTATTTGAAAGCCATTCATCTAAATGAAAATTCTGATTAATAGCAATGATCATAAACCATTTAATTGCTTTATTTCTGCTTAAGATTTATTGTACTGTTCATATATCACATTATAATTCCCCATAATTGCATTTTTAAGTTTAAAACTGTTTCATTATGAATGAAATTTCAATTATTATTATTACACATTGAGGAAAAGATAAATAGATTAAACAAGTCCAGACTAGAATAGAAATAAAGATATTTTGATATATAGAGATTCATCAATGCTCATAGCCATGTGCATATGTTTTCCTCTATTAAAAGAAAGAAGACAACCCTGGCCCCCCACTCAGTGTTATTTAGGGTACGCATATGTAGCTGTTACTTGTGATTTTCCTATAAGTAAAGCAAGAAGGTTAAATTGATAGAATTCACAAAGATAAGCAATAAAGTGAAGAATGATTCTGTTTACCAGATCTACAGTGTATCCAGATTACACCGAGCAAGATTTAATATGATATGACAAGCTGCAGTCAGCTACTTTGAAGTCTATTGTCTGCTAAATCATGCATGCTTGCCAGCTGAAAATGAAATGTAAAGCGTGTTTCCAAACACTCACACAGACCCCACCCTCACCCACACCACACTATAGGCCTCTTCTATGCGCCTTCCTGTAACTATGGATACATGCTCACAAATTGCAGGTGCACAACACACCTCACACATAATCAAACACGTTCACCTCGCACCCACACCCACACACACACACACACACGCACGCACACACACTCACCTACCCACTGATCATTCTCACCCCACCACATCCCTACACAGGGTCTGTTTCCAAGCACAAATTGGTACTATGATTGGAGATGTGCTGCTATTGTAAGTACGGTATCCTTGACTACAGCCATGATCATGTGGCAGTCTACGGTACTCCAAATGTACTTTACAATAGGAGTTGTAAGTGTAAATGTATAGAAAGCAAAAATAGTTCTGCTCATGTCCCCAACATACATATTTCTGTCTTTTTATATTGGAGATATGCTGCTATTGTTTGTACGGTATCCTTGACTACGGCAATGATCATGTCATGTGGCAGTCCATGGTACTCCAAATGTACTAGAGATGTTCTACAAATTTTTTGAATTTTTTGAATTTTTGAAATCATGTCAAAGTTTGAATCTATTCATAATGTGGTTACCGTATACCTGTCTGGTAAACATTGTCGTTCCTAAATTTCTTCTAAGTTGAAAAGGAGACAAAGAGTAACATAAGCAAGCTTTCAAGCAGAATCTAGACATCTAGTTCTGTGGTAAAGGCATTGAGATGAATGAAAAATGAACATTTCAATGTGTGCAGTACTAATGTGACATAATTTCCAATTTGCATGGATTTGCTTAGTATCAGTCTCAATATGTAGTCTATCTCTCACAGAAGAAATGACCCAACTAAGGAATTATTGAATAGTGTGCTAATTTTATAAATGTAGACACCATGAAATTGATCTGAACTTATCTTTTGTCTTTTATATTTTTATCTGCTAGAATACTTCATGAGCTAAATGAAATTATGTTTATGAAAAGAAAAGGATGAGATAGGAATATTTGATGTTACAGCTTGAGGCACACAGATTATGGTTATCAAAACTCTTCTTTGCTGGCACCCTTATATAGTACATAATTGAAGGACAAGTCATAATAAGAAGAGAATTTGAATAGTATGACAATGAAAAGATAGCATCTTAAGACTAGAGTTTCATTTTGTGATTTATATCATTTCTTATGAGACTATGAAGGGTGTGGAATGTTGGAAATGCATGTTAAGGGTGATGTTTTCTCATGATGAGAAGTTATTTTTTTTATTTTTTTATCTAGCTACGTTGTATGAGGTTTGCATGTAACAAGAATTTTGTTCTGGGATGAAGTTTCGTGCTACGAGATGTCGATTATAAATGAATCTGTAATTATAAATGACTTCTGTATCCTGAATGCATTTGGACTGAAATATACAATGTAATCAAGTTTCAGGCTTGAATATCTAATCTAAAGTTCCTATGATTTTTATTTTCATTTTAGAACTATTTATTTCGTTTTATAATGAAATATAGGAAATTCTGCACAACTTTAAATTATATACATTACCATTGCTCAGTTTGTTAAGCTAGGGTATAATGTACTTAATGCAAAAATTGGCACTTGTTTAGCCATTTTAACAATTATGAATATTTATAAAGCGCAATGTCCATTTCGCAGAAATGCTGAAAGCACCAATATATTTTAAACTAAACAAAATGCAATCATGTAATTGTTGCTTTCACAATAACGGTGAGGTGGTTGAGAGCAAATCGGGAGTGCATGATCAAGCCAAGCCAGGCCAAACTTTAATATGACAGATTTCATTGCATGCATAATTTATTTAGACCTTTTGCCAGTTTTGTGTTAGATGGTCAGAATCTATTTTGGGTGCCCCAGTTTGGCCTTTTATCTTTATCTTCAATTTCATGTTTCTAAAGGTTCTTAGGAAACAAGAATAGCAAAATCCCCATGTGTACATGTAATAAGAAAGATCACAAATTTACAAATATTGTACATAACCTTTGATTAAATGAAAAAGGCAAATTTCTCAAGCTATTTGTGACACGATGTTACCAAAAAGTAAACTCAAAAATATTCTGCCAGATATCAATCCATGTTGATTCATTGCTGATTTTCATAACATAATGCTTCCAAATAGACTAAAGAATACTAATGTGCTGAACGAAATGTCTATGACTTGGCAGATGGATATCTAATGCTTTAGGTGCATCAGATGGTGCATCTTTTTTCCTTTTTATATATTTTTTTAAGAGGGCTACTTTCTTTCTTATTGTTATATTATTAATTGACAATGAATGCTTTCTATTCACTGTTTGCCATGTTGAGTGGTTTAGTAACACACTTTCCTCCTTCCTTCCTTCAGGAGAAACTTTGAAGAAGCTCTCGAGAAATCAGGCATCAATCCAGGTATGTAGACATGTAGTACTGTGTATTATACAAATGTAACATATTCTCTAGTCTGGATACTTCTTTGTCATTTTATACTGGGCAAACTGTACAAAATACATTAATGTTGTACAGGTACATCATTGTACAAATGTTGTTTGACATGAATTCAGGGCACGCCTGATTTTCTATAAGAGATTACTGAACCTTCACATTCTCATTCTCATCATTCTCATTAAATTCCACTTTAACTGATGTTTTGAAGCCCCTATATTAAAAATCCAATAATATGTATCTACTCTGCCCAACAGATTCATGATAGTGATAAGAAAAATTAGGATAGAGAAAACAAAATGTGAAAAGTTTAAGGGTACAAATAAGGAATAACAGTAAGGTGACGGGGCAGAAGATGATAATGCAGTGATGCTCATGAAGGGAGAAGGGGGAGCAGTAGGTGGAAGAGGGGGAGGTGGAGGAAAAGAAGAAAAGGAGGATGAATGACTAGGATATGGGTTATCACCTAGATGGTAGCCACCAACAACTACCTTATATTTATCCTGGTGATACCCCCCTCCCACGATGCCCCCTACGATACCCCCCACAAGGTTATCGTTGCTGCCCATCTTTCGACTGACTTTCTGTTCCGGTATCAGGAAGTTTTAACTGTCTCTGTATTTACCGCTCTTTCTTTTTTTCTTTTTTTGTCCTTTATCCAAGTGACCCTTGTGGCCTTGGAGCATGATCAAGAGCAGCGGAGACAGGTGCATAGTGATGCTGTGGTGAGTGTCAATTATGCAACAGAAAAAAGACCATCAATTTCATAAATAGCTCTTTGAAAAAATTGGAACCCACACATACTGTACTAGACCTCAGTGTTGTAGTCACTATTTTGTGTTAATTAAGTATGAATATAATTTAGAAGCAATTATTTAGACCTTTAGTTAGATTGACCTGGTTGCTGTTTTGAAATGTCCCTTTTACTTTTCTTATTATCAAATATTCTATCACTTGTTTTTTGTGTGTGCTTTCTTGATGCTTTTCAAAGCTATCTTTCCTCTCATCTCATTTCTATTTTTGTGCATATTTCAACAAGTTCCTGCTTAATATCTAGATAAGACTCAAACATTTTGAACCTCAAAATTCCAAAGATGTTTTGCGGAATGCAACAGTTCATTATACATGTATTTTCATTAAAATATTATTTAGAGTAGGTTCATCACTCAACCATTTTTCAGACAATGTTGTAACCTTTGAACTCAATTTCAGTCCGTAGACACCAATTATTATGTATTAATACTTGCCCAGTACCTTGTTTCATCAAGCAAGTTTATCGTATTCCTTTTGTTGATCAATAAAGCAAATTTATAACAAATTCAAAATAACCTTTAGTGAAAGAAGGATGCATAGATTACAATGAAGGCTATTTGTTTGCTAAAATGCAAAAAAAAAAAAAAAATAAAATAATAATAATCTACATTGTCTATGATTGGTATCTCATTTAAATTTTGGTGAAAAGGATTTTTAAATGCATACAAAGTTGGCTACTTGTTTTATTGATCACTTTTATAAAATACTTTTCTTGCTTTCAAGGCTAGAGTACAAGTTCTTAGAGAAAAACTTGAAGAAAACACATATGTTTGGCACTCTAACTCACAAGAAATGAAGGTATGTAATATCTACAATATTTTAAATCTAAATTATATATATTGTTATGCTCTTTTGTTGTTTGGATTCTCCTTTTATATTATTTGTTTTTGCACATATGTGAAGGCTTTGCCTGTCACATTGGTATATTTGTAATATTTGTAAATGATATGATATGGTAGAGGGGGGGGGGGGGGAGATTTTCTCATTATAGTTGAATTAAGTCCAATGCACTATGTTATTATGTATAACTTTGTTTTGAAGGAGAAAACTTGGCTAGCTGTTAAATTAGCTTGTAATGGATGATAGGTTTTAATACAAATATCTTAAGCCAGATCACTCTTTTGTCCATCTGTTAAATTTTGTTCATATGTATGTTGGCAGTGTAATCCTTAACCTGACATGATGAATGGGTACCATGCTATTCATCTCATTGCTATTAAGAATAAATACATTAAAAATGGGGGTGGAGACGATTTAAACCAAAAGTGTCGAATCATCTGAGCCATTCACATTACCTGCATGCAATTTAGGTCATTCGACCGTGGGCCAGAGGCAAGGCGGACTGACAATTTTGTTTTTTGTAACGGCGTATGTGATTGGCTGAATCATAATGAAAAGAGGAGGGGCATGTTGTTGATGATGATGATGGTGCGTGCCAAAGCAATATGTGCTTCTATTTCATTATCTCCACATTGACTGCGTGATTATCAAATATTCATGAACCCACAGTATGTAAAAGATATGAATCCCTATTCACAGAAGTTTCCAATTCTCACCCTTTCACCATTTTATTTATCAATCTCTCTTCTCTATCTGTATGTGGCCTATCCAACTAAATCTTGTTCAATGTCAGTGGGAGATTCTCGTTTCATCCATGTCATGAATATGCCATATTCCTGATTGTAAGATGAAAAACGTTTCTTTTCAAAATATGAAATAAAAAGGCCATAGTACAACAGCAAATGTTTGAACTACAGTTTAAACATTTCATTGTATTGCTTTCCATTCTATGATGAGGTGTGAGCCATGTTGCTGTTGTACATATATGGATAGCTTGTTGACCTAAGGAAAATATGTCACAGCTAGAGCCTGGTTTTTTAATATGATGAAAGTCCCTTAATATCATGCCTTGCATCATGGGAATAACACCGTTGGAAGCGTGTTGATTCTGAATAGTGATTTGGAATTTTGCCAAATTTTTGTGATTGTTACCATGCCGACACTAACATCGATTTCCTTCATAAGTTAATCCGTGGTGCAGTGCTCAGAATGCTCTTTATTTTCTAGAAATACTCGCATACATAGTTAGGCATCTTTTAGTGACACCAATAATGATTTTGAATAATATTCCTTTAAACATGACAATATAAAAACTTAAGCAAAAAATGTCATAAATTCTTAAGTGATCAGAAGCGAAATCAAATTAAAATTCTTGTGACATATATTGTAAACCTTGATGGAAAGTATGGGGCAATTATTCCTCTTAGATTTAGTTTGTGAGAAGGACATTATTTGAGTGGCTTGTGCTGTGATCGATGCAGGTCAGTCATTGGGTTGAACCATGTATTGAGCTAATGAATTTTATAATCCTATCATCAGAAGTTTTTTTGCTGGCTTTTGGAACCAAATTGTGCATCACTAAAGACAACTTCAAAAACTCATAACTTTCTTTTTTTAAATTAAATATTGCTCAAACTTTCACTTATTTGTTTCTCTCAATTTTCTGCTTTTATTAAAATGATAATATCAGGGTGGAATTACCCTTTAAATAAGAAAAGTAATGCACAAATAAAGAGAATAATGTAAATGGTATGGACATCTTAATGTATTTGCATTACTAATAGTAGGTCATAAATGCAATTTTCTAGAGAGGGTTGACAAATAGCAAACCATAACAGATAGGAAGAGATGGATAAAAAGATAACAGTTTCCTTTCCAGTCATCCTGAGTGCAGCAAATATTTGTTTATAGCAGCGTCTCATCAAATTAAAAATCTTGTGTAAGTATTTACAATTCATTGTTTAAACAAAAGGCACACCCTATATGAAAGTTCAGAGCTTAATTGGTATTTATTACTCCTGAAATTTATTCTCTTCATTTTCTTTAATTTTCAGAAAATATCAGACAAATGTCGGGCTATGATGGAGAATGCAAGGAGTGTGGATCTGTAGGAAACATTCACTGATCATCATCTTTAAGCATACTGTTCATACTCAGTCTTGCAGGATTTGGCATATGCCATCAGTTTAGAATTGATGGAGGCTCAGCTGACAGCCGTTAGGGTGTTTACTCAAATACAATTTTACAAAGAATTGAGCCTGATTGCATTTAGATAAGACGACATCTGTAGTCTAATAATATTTTCAGATCTGGCGGGTACTGTGGACCATTGTTAAGATTTTGAGATGTCAGACCGAAAAAAAAAATTACAGTACATAGCTCCCAAATAGCCAAGCATGCAGAGGTCGTTTGGGAGTCAATTTGACTGTATGGCAGAGGTATAAAGGCTTTAATAATTGATGAGCACCCTCAGGCAGTAGACTCTTTAATAGTAGGCATGGAGATTTTTTTGAGTCACGAATTGTGTTTGCTTTGCTTATTCACCCCTAAAATCTGACCTACACTTATACATCACCGTTATTGTGAATCAGAAATGAAATTTGATCTTCATAACAGATCCATCTCCATTAAAACTGTTGGGTCTACCTCTTAAAGGTAATACAAAGTTTTGGAGTGGGGTCATGAATTTGGTTCAATTGAACATATTGGAAGCATATGCGATTCTACAATATTCAGTGATCATTGTCGCAGTTGAAATCAAGTCTAAAGATATGAAATTGTAAATAATAACCTCTTTATGTTTTATAGCTCCCTCTTAAGGTCAATATATTATATTCAATTTTTCTCGAAAGCAGAAGTGTTTTAGGGGCTAAATTTTCTAGTGCTTATAATACATCCACAGGGGCATCCAAATATATCAAAATTGTAGAGAATCACTATCCACCCAATTTTCAACATTTCCCCAAACTTTGAATTACCTTTAAGGCATGATACATATATGTATGCATGCTCAGGAATTTAGAACTTGTAGATGAGGTAGAGTTATGGATCCGCACTCCAAGAGGAGTATAAAATAGTAATTAATTGATCATGTTTACTTGATAAACATTATTGCACAACCAATTTCTCTGTACAAGACTCTCCTTTATAGTAAAATTGAAAAAAATAAAGTTGTTAAATCAACATTTACTTGTAAAAGAGCTAAGCTGTTACAGTATAATCAAAGTTGTAGATGAACTTTTCTGACATGCTAGATGCAACCTTTATGGTGTTGGATTTTAATAGTACTAAATATAGTGAGATAAAAGGGTTTGTAAAAACTGTCACTCCAGACAAATCCAGACGATTTCAGAAGACCAAATAATCTAGGCATAGATTTATCAGGGTGTCGCATGTGGCACATGTTCTCGGAGATTACATTGTTTTTTTTTGAGAATTCCAAATAATATAATCATTTTGAGATGTATAAAAATGAGATGAACCCCATCTTTAAATCATAAGTTGTGTGATTTCAGTAGTTAAGCTAGGCAGTTGTAATATAGTTCATTATAGAAAGTGCTTCCAAAAATCAACACTTATCATTTGATTTCTTGGGTTTAACCTTTGAAAATGAGAACACTTGGTTAAGCATTATACCCCTCATGTTTCATCAACAACTCATTTATATCATATTAAGTTATTTTGAAAATTGCATGTCAATATATTTATGGAAACTTAGTATACATGTATCTTTTTCTCAATTGATCATTTTGAAATCTGATACATAGTTGTATATAAATAAGTCAAAATCTTTATTTCCCTTGTATTTTGTATTCTATACATTTGCACATATATTGTAAAATAGATAAGGTATTGTGAGAAGAAAGACAACAACCAAACATAAATAATCCCAGAGGCCATGTGTAATGAATATCTAATGATTTTCACAGTTGGCAAGAGATGCAACTTCATATTTGATATGCAGTGGCCTTGCCTGTTTAAATGCAATTATGTTTAGGTTATACACAGCAGAGTGGTGTGCGGTTTTCATTATATTGTAGTCCATTTACAGTCGAGCTTCTTTTTCTATGCATGTTGTTACCATAGTAACTGTAGATAAGTATATCCACTTTTCACCAGGGTTTTTATTAGCAACTGGTGTACAGTCAGTTTTATTATGAGCAACGCAACATTGTTTATAGCAACGATGATCAATAGACTTGTGAACTTTACCTTGCGTGTTTTGTATCTCGTTTTTGTCATGGAGAACACAAAGTAATGTCATACATATTGTGACTGTAGACAAGTGCTCCACATGATATTCTCTATTTGTTTGACTGCTGTTGAAGTGAATTTTCTATTGAAAAGCAATAATAAATATGTTGATTCGTTAATTTCATGAACAAGATGCGAAAAAAGACGGCTATGTCTTCTTTGTGTTGTAATTCCTATAACTTTCAAAGTAAACATTTACTTTCTGAGCTCATTGATAATACAGTTTCTTTGCAAAGAAACGTTTAGCTGACATTTAAAGCACTTCTTGTGAAGTCACACACATGATTGACCCAAGTTGATAATTAAAATATTGTTTTCCTTTCCAAGCAACCTCATTGTTTGGACATTAATAAGTGAAAACCGTTTACTTGAATTGAAGTACTCAGATTTACTAGATAGGAATACCGTTTCTGCCCATTTTCTCATTGACCTCTAAAAGATATTAATGCATGCATTGTAATAAGACTCTTTGTCTGGTGAGGGCAACTCTTCTACAAGTGAAAAGAGGATATATGATGAATTCTGTAAAATGAGGTTAAAAGCAACAGGTTTTGTGATCGTGGTCATTTATATTGGGAAGAAAGGCCCTGATGATGATAGACAGCAGAAACCACAACTGTGTTGAGTTAGGTTGAGTATTTTGCACACTTGGGGTACATTTCTGGTTTTAATAAATATGTGATGGAGACACTTATTGTGATGACAGTTTTGTGTTCCTTAGTCTTTTCAAACCCGGAATACATGTATTTCCAAAAAATGCCATTCAAACATGACATCTATATTGGCATTTAATGCAACGTGTTATGAAAAGGACATCTTACAATGGTTTCAACACCTTTTCCAGCAGAAATTGGAATAATATCTTGACATAAAATGTTTGATCAGCTGTCTCATTGTAAAGTTTTGCCTCCAATGCTAATATTGTTCATGGACATATTCATCTCGTATTATTTTGCTTTGGTCTACAATACCACAGCCGGCACAGTAACTTTGCAAACAGCTTTGGCAAATACGATCAAAACAGGAACAAGTTTATAAAAAATATATTGTTAATTTATTTTGCATGTTATTGGTTAGCAGTCTGTGACGAATGTACATGATATGCCACCTCAACACAAATGTCCATTTTGTACGCCTGTCCTCTTTATCGATATATATTGCTATGTTGTATAATAAAGACAGAATAATGAGTGTCTTCCCCTTAAAATCTATTACGACTCGGTCTTATGCGTCAACTGTATATAGCATCGTGATGTAATAATGTGGGGTTAGCAATGAGAGAGAAGAGAAGAGAGAAAGAGAGTTAGGAATGAGAAAGATAGAGTGTAAAAGTGAGGAGAGCAGGGGGGGGGGGGGGGGGAAGGAAGAGGTTGGAGAGAGAGAGAGTGGTGAAATAATAAGGGGAGAATGGAAGAGAGATTAGGGACAGAGATGGAAGGGTTAGAGTGGGGGGGGGGGGGGGGGGGAGGGGGAGAGATTAGGGACAGAGATGGAAGGGTTAGAGTGGGGGGGGGGGAGGGGGAGAGATTAGTGACAGAGATGGAAGGGTTAGAGTGGGGGGGGGGGGAGGGGGAGAGATTAGGGACAGAGATGGAAGGGTTAGAGTGGGGGGGGGGGAGGGGGGGGAGGGGAGAGATTAGGGACAGAGATGGAAGGGTTAGAGTGGGGGGGGGGAGGGATTAGGGACAGAGATGGAAGGGTTAGAGTGGCGGGGGGGTGGGAGGGGGAGGGGGAGAGATTAGGGACAGAGATGGAAGGGTTAGAGTGGGGGGAAGGGGAGAGATTAGGGACAGAGATGGAAGGGTTAGAGTGGGGGGGGGGGGGGGGGGGAGGGTATAATGGAAGAGGGGGGGGGGGGGGGTTAAGGAAAGGTGATGAGCGAGACAAAGACAATTATTATTTCGATTTACAGGAGTATATTGACGTAATAAGCACGTTACTAATGGGTCTAAACAAGCTCGAGAGGCATCAGATTTAACAGCCAAGTAAAAAAAAGAATGACAAAAAAGTAAGGCAAATATTTGATTGGTCTTATCAAATTAAATATCCAGTCTCGTATAATATTGAGATGTCGTCGAGTAAATATGGATGAGATAGATTAACGAAAGATCATGATTGTGTTTATACTACAAAATGAAATAATCAAGATCTGGCTAAAGCAGGGTTCCTTTCTATTTATATTATCTAGAATTCAGTTTATGTGTCTTTATATAATGTCATCTGCAATTGCATGGGGAAAATATATTTTTTTAAATTTTGGGAAACAAGAATGAAAAGATCAAGAAACTAGGATAATAAATCTTCTTTTACGTTAATGGACACATGAAGTTAACGAGGCACAGAAATAGCCTAACTGTGATCAGGTAGCAAACTTCACCCTTTTTTCATGCAGCAAGCCAGCAATAGGTTCGGTTTTACCTTCGTCATTATCTTCCCAAACACATTCTTAAGCTACTATAGTTGTAGATACAAAAAAAAACCCGATAAAACACATGACCCCAATACAAAAGTGTTATTTCTCTATGAAATGGAATCAAAGGGGATTTTGCACAATATCCAATTCAAGTTGTGATATAACCAAATAATATTAGCTCATCACGTGTTCAGTAACGGCAAGCCAGACGATATGTTTTCAATCGATATCGATTTACCGCTCTAAATAGAGAGGCGGAGCCTGCTGAAGGCCCAATGAATCAATGTTAGTACTCGCCCCCCCCCCAATTCTTTTAAAGGAAATTTAATCTGTGTACGATTACTAATGGCGTAAGCGTCATATTAATAAATTATCGATTTGCCCCGATGGAGACACAAGTACGATTTCGTACGATTTCAAAGCCAATGGAACAATTACCTTTCATTACCTTCAGACCATAACATTTTCGTCGGGATTTGTTGACATGTTGCCATAGGAACGTAGCGACGATATGCATTGCGTTTAATTCGCATGACCTCCCGTGCATGTATACGTTTAAGGGACCGTTTTTCTTCTTTGTTGACATAAAATTGGCGAAAGAGTAATAGGCCAACGGCCGTTGTTCCAATTAAGTACAATGGTGAATTCGAAATGACGTCGGTGATTTCATTCCGAGATTGTCTTTTTAGAAAAACTGCT